GATTTTAGGTTTAGCGTTTCGAGTTTCGGGTTAGGGGTTTTAAGGTTTGGGGTTTAGTGGTTTAGGGTTTTCGGGATTCGAGTTTTGGGTATTGGGGTTTGGGATTTAAGGTATAGGGTTTAAGGTTTACAGTTTAGGGTTTGGGATTTATGGTTTAGGGTTTGGCGTTTTGCGGTTTATTTTAGGATTTATGGTTTCGAATTACGATTTTAGGGTTTCGGGTTTGGAGTTTTAGGGTTTAGTGTTTCGGGTTTAGGATTTGGGATTTAGAAGGTTTAGGGTTTGGGTTTTAGGGTTTGGGGTTTTTCATTTTAGTGTTATGGGTTTTAGGGTTTGGGTATTGAGGTTTAAGGTTTTTGGGTTTAGGGTTTGAGGGTTAAGATTTAGGATTTTGAGGTTTAGGGTTTAAGGGTTAAGGTTTAGGGTTTTAGGGTTTAGAATTTGGGGTTTTAGCGTTTAGTATGAGAATATCTTTTTAAAGAGGGAGAGCTGATATTGTTTCTCTATTGTTTCTTTTTTTGTTCCAGAAACATAAGAGTAGATTTTTTTATTTCTTATTTTTGTTCCAAATCTATTCCCTAACCACTTTTCTAGTCCGGGGAACAAAAAAACTAACTGTTGTTACTAAATAAATTTATGTTCTTTTTCTGTTCCGGGGAACAAAAGAATACAAAAACAGAGAAACAAAAACGTTACTAAACATGTCCTATGTGACATCCTGATTTTCGCCTAACCGATTAGTAAGCCAAGGAAATTTATTTGGTGTCAATGATCGAATTCATTAAAATGACGCATTCCTAATGGTCATTTAAGGAATTGAGATACGATGGCACTTAACGTATGCTTTGTCCGGATATTATAAGAGCCTAAGTTACATGATATAGGTCACAATTGGGACACATTACTCACCATGCATGGCCAACCACCACTACCCCTCATTTCACTACCTTTCTACCATTTTTGCCCCTCTGCATGCATGAAGAGTGTCACTTGGCATGAGACAAGTGTCAAGAGAATAAGGCCACTTGTCAAGACACATGCAAGACAATAGAAGGCCAACTTGTGAAGCAAGACACTCATTCTCTCTCTCTCTCTTCCACTCTCTCGGCCATATCTCTCTCTCACTTTCCCCCTCATTTTTCAAGAAGCCACCCAAGGAACTCTCTTCCTCACTCTTTACTTCCTCTCTCACGACAGCTCGCTCTTCGCCTTCTCATCTTTGTTTTTTTGTTTTTCTTTCACTTTAGAGCACGGCCGACAGCTCAAGAGGAAGGATCTCGGGTCTAGAAGTGGTAAGGCAAGGAGATAAGGGTTGTTTCTAAGCCAATCAATCTTTCTATGCCCTTGGTTTTGCTTGTTTGTTGTTGTGGATGGATGTTTGATCTTGCATGTGGGTTTCATGATGTTCGAAGGGCATGCATGCGGTTGTTCAGACCTGGATTGAGTGTGTTTGAGGCTCTAATGGTCTTGCATGTGGATGTTTTGGTCTCTAATGGCCTTGCATGTTGGTGTACTAGCTCCTAATGACTTGCATGTGAGACGGATGGGTTTAACTTGTTGAATGAAGGTAATAGTGGTTGTTGCATGTTCACTTAAGCTTTTGGAATTGAGTTAGATGAGCCAAAATTTCGTGGGTATCCATTTGGACTTGAATCTTTGAGGTTTGTTTTGAAGCCCAGAACTCGGAACTACAGTACCTCTTCTGTTTGTTATTTTTGTACATGTCTTTGTACGTCGAATTTGGGGTTGTGTTCTTCACAAAAGTTGTTCACCACATCTTGAAGCTTAATATAGTTTAAATCTTAAATTTTTTGAGTTGATTTGGGTCGTACGAAAGCTCATCTTCAAACTGTGTTTAAACTGCCCAGAAATACAGTTTTTGTGATCCTCACGTCTTTTTGATTTTTTTATAAATTATTCCAGATCTATTTTCAACAAGATTCCTCCACAAAAGTTGTTAAGGACTTTTCTTTCTATGACATATAAAACTTTCGAGGCTTTTGAAGGTGATTTGGGTACTGAAAGAGATATATTTTGAGGATCGAGCAGTCTGTTCTGACGAGCTGATTTTGGGTCTGACTTTGAGTGACAAAACGACATGATTAACGATTGAATTGGGTTAGTGATCTTCACAAGAAATGTTTATCAAGGTGTTTTCTGTGACATACCTGAAATTTAGAATTTTTGGAGTTAATTTACTATTTTGGAGAGATTTCTGTTATTGTGCAAAACTGCCCAGATTTATCCAATTTAAAAAATTCACTATTTTCTAAATGAAAATGTTCAAACCACGATTCAATGTCTTCTAGGGATAAAACCCACACACTTTGGAATTTCCAATGAGGTATGATTGGCCTCGATGTAATATCTAATAGTGGTGCAAATTGGGTTACCTTTTGGTAAAGGATTTTGGAAATTCTGGTTGTGAATAGCTTCAGTGTGTTAATGAGGCATCTAATCGTTTGGTGAGACATGGTATCATTTCATATGAAAAGTGTGCTGAATGAAATGAGTTACATGGTCTAGGAATGTCATGTCATTGCATACGTGTGATATCCCTGAGATGTGAGTGAAAGAAAGATGTTATGTGATGCCCAAGGCCAGCAAACCTTGGAAGTCAGGCCAATACCCCGGAAGTGAATGCCTCGATGATGCCAGGTTGGGTGTTGGGATGCCTCTGTGCTGTGTGCTAGGATGCCCCTGTGCTTGTGCTTGGGATGCCTCGGAGTGAGATGCCTGTGGCCAGTAAGCCATGGAAGTCCGGTCAGTAAATCGGAAAATGTCCCGGAGGAGTCGGGATGCCCCTATGCTGTGTGTTGGGATGCCCCTGTGCTGTGTGCTTGGGATGCCTCGGAGTGAGATGCATGTGGCCAATATAAGTCATGGAAGTCCGGACAGTAAACCGATAGTGACCCGCACGGACCGGCCAGCAAACCGTGTGATGCATACAATTCATGCTAGCATTATACATGTGACTATGAATGCCGCATTTGGATTGCGTGTGTTCATTATAGTGTGCATCGATTATTTCATGTTAGATGTGTCCTAGGAATCGAGAGTTAGTTAGATATGTTGGTTTATGAGTTAGTCTTATCTCTTGTTGAGCGTAAGTTCACTCCTTTTAATATTCATTTTTACAGATTTTTAGACATGCCGCTGATCCCTTATGCTGATAGTGACCATAGTGACGATGGTGGTGACAGCGAGTAGCGAGGTGGAGTTGTGGATGTTGTTGTATATAGTGGAATTATTTTGGTGACACGGTCGTTACTTTTTGGCTATGATCGTGAGGATGGGTGATTGGAGATAGCGGAAACCGAGGGTTTCACTTGGATGGCATTAGGGGAGTAGGACACCATTTTAACCTCCCAGATGTAGTCTTTTGCTGTCATGTTTAAGGATGATGTCGTCCAAATCACCCTTGTATACAAAAAAAAAATATGAATGAAGATGTGGTATTTACGTTGTGTGTGTCTATTGAATGAGAAATGTTTACTTTGATTGTGTATTGTCTTTCGCTTGTACTATAAGTGAAAAGACCAAAGAATGCCTTAGTATGTGACGCTCTGGGACGTCACACCCTAAGTCTCGACCTCAAAAAATGAATTACTTTTGTTTTAAGCAGATCTCAATGAAAAAATTATCTGAATTTCATAGATTATAAAGAAACCTATGATCAGGCCCTTCAAAACCATACTTAATCATCTTCTTTTGAACCATCAGGGAGTATTTTAACCCCTTATTAAAATTAAGATATGATATTTTATTTCCAACAGATGTAAAGATTAGTGAACTCTTTTCCTATCATCTTTCTAAGGATGCTTTTGTTTCGTAAAAAATGAATGATTTATAAAATATTTTCTTAAATTTTCGCTTGCATCACTTATAAAATGAATGAACAAAAATATTTTCATCATCCTCGAAAATGCTTGGATATTAATGGTTGTTAATAGTAAAAATATTTTTCATTAAGTAATTATTTCGAGGAATACAAATGATTGTTATTAGGGAAAATGTTCTTCAAATTATTTATTTTCCTCAAAACAAATAAAGTAAGAGTTATTAGATTTTTTTTTATAGATATTTCAATTAAAGTTTTATCTAAGAGTCCTTCAATTTATTTTCTACGGATTTCTAATAACTCTTTATTCGTAATTACTGTATTATAAATGTTTTTTTATTAAGACTCCGCTTGTTTTACGGAAAATGAATGATTCAGAAAACACTTTCCAAAAAAATGATCACCTTACAAAAATGAATAAACGAAAAATATTTTCATTGTCCACGAAAAATGATTAGACATAAATAATTATTGATAACGGAAATAGTTTTTATTGAGTAATAATTTTAAGTGATACAAGTTATCATTTTTAGAAAAATATTTTTCAAAATATTTATTTTCTATTAAACTAACGGAGCCCAAAATGAAAGGTTGTTTTAAAATTTTTTCTATTAGTATGAATTTTAGCTTTCAAGAATTGCTAGGTGCAGTAATTCTTTCTTTTCAAGAAAAGATGGTGAAGTTAGTCTTATACTAACAAGGAGTCCATCCCGATCGAAGGTGCTCTCTCTCCCTTTACTCATACGTAACGAAGAAGTAAAAAACGACTTGGTGGTGCGGGCAATGTCCCACGTCAGACAACTTGAAAAGATATTTCAGGTTTTACGAGTTAACTTTCTGGAATGAGTTTTTCCATTCCTCGTAACGCATCAATATGGTATCAGAGCCATTTAGGTTTCGTCAACTTTTCTGGATGAGTTTATTTTACTCATTATAAATTAACATTTGAATGGCAATTTTAGTGCCAGACTCCACCATCGGAGTGTGGGCCCTTAGCATGCCAATACGATACCACACTTTCGAAATATAAACTCACTGGAGATATGGAAGCAAAACACTTCGACATGGGTATTGAAAATGCTTTCTCTTTTGGTAAAGAAAGTTTTCCATATGTCTATAGAATTACTTCCTTTATGTTTTTGGGGCCATCAATAAAATCGCTTTTGACATTGTCAATTACAAGTCGGCACAAAAACAAATCATCTCGTTTAGTGCTACACCGACCCGACCCGACCCGACCCATCGCGGATCCGACTGTCATTTGGCCCGTCCATTTTCAATTTCCTTTTAGGCGGTTAAACTCGTACCTGTCGTCGCGACACCATTGCACTCTTTTCTCTCTCTCTCTCTACAACTGCAACCCGATCATTCATTGCCCAATCTCATCCTAGATCTGAAAACCCTCGCTCGATCGCCACGTCAACGAAACCTAGAAAGCGAACGATCACGCCGCGAGGTTTCTCCTCGCCGCCGTCGGGGACGTCCGGCGAAGCCGAATGCAGCGTCGTCGTCAGCCTCTTCGACTGGATGCAGAAGAGCGAGTCCGCCGCTCCGAAACGCTCGCTCCGAGTTTCCGCGAGTTTCTCGACACCGTTTGCATGGCCAGGGACTACTTCAGCGCCGTTCTCGCCCGAACCTCCCTCTTTCGATCGCGAGCGCCGGCACGTAAGGCCTCGAGGAGTCCGTCCTCGCCACCTGCGCCGTCGAACGCTCTCGGCATATCCCGCGACGCCGAGGACGCTATCCGCCTCTTCGATAGTTGCCTCGAAGGCCACAAGTGCAGTGCCTATGCCAGGGCGTGCGATTTCGCACTTTTCGCCGCTGAGGTATAGCGTTTTGGACTCATCAGAGACGATTTGATCGCTCGATGTGCTTCTGATTCTGCTGCTGTTGCAATATATGAATTAGGTCGTCATATGAGAGTTAATATGATTTTGGTCATCCTCTCCTTGTGGACGTGTGTTGTGGTTCGAAATGATGTCGGCGTGCTAGCGCTTCTCTCGTAATCTGTCTTGACACTGTTCTGAGTTGCCGAAAATAGATTTTATATACCTCACGAGAGACGTTAAATATATTCTCCCATTGGTTTAGGAAGTTGGAGGTATTCGGTTGGCGTTTCAACTTGCTTGAGATTCATTAATCCCTTTTTATCAATACGATGAATCCTATAAAGGTGATCATGCCTTTTCATATAGGTTTTATCACTTAAGTAGCAGAGTTATTGCATATATCGTCAATTGTTCTAGATTTAATTCGCTTGTGCTTTCTGGCAATGTCATTGGCATCGAAATGGATACCTGAGGTGCATCAAGTGAAAACAGGCGGGCTACTTTCTCATTGTTGTTCCCTGTGATTATTGTACTCTCGAGTTGTTCGATTTTTATTCCACACTCCAGATATTTTTGTGGCTTTTGTCTTCGATTAAAATAATTGTCTCAAGGCATAAAGTTCCTAATTCTCATTTAGGTGATATACATTTCTACATCTATTGGTTTCACGCTTTTGGTGCTCTATACTGATATTTACACTTGTGTGCCGCTTCTTTCTAACAATTTCCGAACAGGGCAGGAAAAAGAATGCATTGGAGATGAAGTGGATTATCATGATAATTGTTAAAGGTATTGCCTTTTGACTTTATTTTTGTTACGATCTTGCATTTTATTTGTTAGTAATTTTTAATTATATATCTCTGCATATCTGAAAATAGGCGTCAGCAAAAGGACATTTTTCCATGGATTATCATGATGCTGAGGATTTGTTCAATGTCGCTTGTGATCCGAAATTTGTCTGCAAGAAGCTGAGGGATTGTGGCTTACGGCATAAGCGACAGGTTTCCTGCTTAAAAATTTTCCTCCTGCTAATATTGGGGACCTCATATTGCTTGATGATTGATCTTTTCTTACAATGGATGTAAATGGTGCATTTTGTGCAGGACTTTTCTGGATCAAACACAATATGGACCGGATTGTTGGATATTATAAGCAATATATTGTGACCAATAGGTAAGCGTGTTCTTCCCTAAAGTGCATAATTTTCACTGTGGGGTAGTTCTTTTTCTGTTCATCTTTCTTCTTATTGGCTACAAAAAGAAAAAAATGTAGGTTCTTGTGTATTTTTATTGGAAGTTCCGATTGGGCCTTTGACATGCCATGTGAATTTCACAAATTAGTTGTGCAGTATATGGCAATCTTTTCATTATTTGAGGTAGGGAGACCTTCTATTATTATGGTTTGAGCCCATTTAAGGAGCCGATTGAGAACTAAATTCATTTTTCTTCTCTTATTAGTTAAATGTGAATCTAATAAAATGGTAAACAGTTGTATATACCTGCTGCTATGTTAAATGTGGACGAGAACTCCAAATATTGGATTTTTGATATCTCCTTTCACCTAGAACTTTTCACTGAAGAGTAATATACCATCAGGCGTGGTAGATTTCACAGGAATCATCGTTATGTGTGTTTAGTTTGGATGGGAATTGACAAACTTTGTAGATAAGAGAATTGCAAACATTTCACTTCTTTTAAATTGGGGATAAATATCTTGGAAAGGTGTCGATTAAGGTCATTTTGGTTGCTTGAAGAGATCGAGTGAGTGTGCATTGCTCTGACAATTTGATTTTAAATGGAGCGCTACCTTTATGTAGTATGATTTTATTTCTTTACTAGTTTTCCTGGTTTGGGGCATCTCCTTTTCTATTGTGATTTTCACCCATTGAGATGGAATGGTCCTTAAGAGGACATTGCTCACAACGTTATGTGACTTAGAGCCATCAGTTGTAGGTTCTGTTCTTGAGATTCAAGGATTAAGAGGGAGGAAGGGAAGGAGCCTAACATGTTCTCCTCCTATATTTATTATTGTCCAGGTATTATTAGACGAAGACAGTAATACCCCTGAACTTACAGACTTTAGTCATCATACAACATATGAAGGTTAACCTACAAGAAGTGCTGCTTAAATTCCAGCATGTTGTGGTTAATATACAACGAGAACTACTTAAATTTTCAAACTATTCGACTTGACTTGAAAGCTTTCTTAACACCTAATGCCGTATCTTTTTCAATCACGTTAACACTATTAGGGAGCATAAGTCAACCGGTGAATGGGACCATTAGTTTTCCACGTAACAGTTGCTAAAAGGAGATTGAAAGATTTCTTTTATAAGGGGTAATAATCATTTCCTTCCTGTGTCAAGCTGCATTTTTTGGAATCATCATTAAACTGTTATTATCCCCTTAAGCCCAAGCTATTATCATGCTATGGATGAGTTGAGAGGTTTTTTGAACAAACAATTGAGAACAGGTGAATATACCTTCTTTCAGATGTCTTCTCCTTTAACCACTCATGCTCGTGGTAATTTAAATTAATGCTTACTTGTCTCTGGTAGCGTGTAGATTGTTTAGCGCTAACCACTAGTAGATAAAAAATTTAGTTTTAGTTTTACAGAAGATCTTGTTCTGGCTTTCTTCTTATCGAAGCTTGAAAAGAAGCGTTTGTAGTATGTTTGTGGGGACCAAATTTCTGGCTTTCTTCTTGAAGAAGCCTGACAAGGGGGCGCACCCAATATAGGCTGTAGTAAGGGAGGATTCAGAAAAATTAAATGAGGCCTTAGCAGAGTGGGATGTGAAAAGATGGTGATTGCCAATCTGTAGAGGTTTAGAAGAACTAGACACTGTAGCCTGGCTTTTACGAAATGCTGTCTTTTAAGTAACTTTATTAAGTGAAGGGATCTATCTGTTTTGTTTTGTAGGTTTTTGAAGATGAGTATATCAATCCAGTTAACTTTAATATCACATGAGGAATGTTATAGTACACTGAACTTTATATTTTAAAAAGTGAATCTGTTCTAGTAAATCAGAATTATACAAGAGTAGAGAATAAAGAAAAGACGAACTACACTAATCATCAGTATAAAGCTAGTGCATGTATCAAAAAATGCTTAAAAATAGCAAAATCAGGAGAATAGAATTTGATCCCGAACAATCTTCTCTTCCGTTATTTCCAAATTTACTGCATAAGGCATAAGGATTTCATGCGATCTCACTATCTTTTGACTTAAGGCTCAAGAATTTCCCTTAAGAACATCACATGACGAGTGTCTCACCATCCCGACATACTGTGATGGTCTATATGTGTTTCTGCTAATTGAAGTACTTCTGAATTTCAGAGATGAAGGAACTGTCTTGAAAGATCTTGGTTCCAAATGGGAGCCAGTTGATAAAAGTGGAAAGTGGTTAAAGCTGAAGCCCTATAATATTTATGCTAGTACGGATTTAGATGTTCTTATCATAGGTAAAATCTATTTCTGCTAAAATCTTTCCTATTTGGAGCATCGCATCCTATTATGTGAATTATACCCTGATATGATGGTATTATGGATCTGGGCGTCGTTTTTTGTTTTTTTTTGGGGGGGTGTTGGGGTACTGTTTGCTGAATGTCCAATTGCAAACACATTTAGTGGCTAACCTGTCTTAGCTGTATCCTTTCTTATGTAATACATTTCATGCAGCCTGTGCAACAATAAATCCTTACAAGTGTTGCAGGATAGTTTTCATTTCTGAGTGAAAAGCCTGATTAAGTTTGCTTGAAATATAAGGGATGATCAGATTCTTGTAGTGGGGTGGCATGTACGTCTCGGTACCTAATAATTGAGATCATACTGCATTCAGGAGAAGAGGGTGCAGAGATGACGAATGAGTGTAGCCAGGATGAGCCACAAACATATCCCGTCACATGAATGTGCTTGTAATTGAGTAATTTGATGGCGGCATGCAGTATATGAACTCCAGCCTACATGAATAACATACTATGTGGTGTTTCAATCTTTGTTTTCCTTCATCTTAGTCGCTGCCAAGTTTTTATGAAATGAACAAACTATTTGAAGGAAAGGTGAGATGTCTGGAAGTGTCTTGAGAAGTTGGCGATTCATTTTCTCTGAACAGCATGTACGTTATGCATTCTCGTGGATCAGTACAAGCATGGGCATGGCATATCAATGATTCTTGAGTTTGTTTAACACTAAACCCATTCTCGTCTTTTTCAGTCACTAGATGTACTTATTTCTTCTTCGTTACAGATCTATTAAAACCAGTTCTGAGGTTTGTCGTTATAGGTGTATTACTTTTTCTTTATTTACGCCAAACATCTGTCAACTGAAGTTTACCTTCTGTGCCTGCAGCCATACTGGCTGCTTGCCTGTTCATATTTGTTTTGATCTTTGTCCAGTTTCCATATAGGTGTTTGCTGCACCATTGGGTCTAAGATTCACACGAATTGACAAGAGTTTGATGGGATAAAGCTTTGCATGAGTGCCTTGATGTCCAATGCAAGAGTTTTTGGTGATTTGAAGCCTTTTTAAGGTTCCAACATAATCTCATATGCTGAAGTGTGTATTATTTTTTTCCTTTTTACTTTCATATCTGATATAAATCTTCAACTAAGGAGAAAAGATTGGTTTGAATTTTGCTTTTCTCTCCCCTTGTGGCTGCAGCTTTTGTGGAACTAGTACCCATTCAAGCAATGGTACTACACATGGACTGGAGAACAAAGCAAAAGCTGGCAAGTGGGCAAAAAGAAGAGATCTTCTGATAAAGGAAAGGGAGAGAAAAGGAACTCGAACCTTGTCCCTTTAAAGTGGAGCTATAAGGATGTTACTGGAGAGCTGCTTAAAATTCTGTCATTTGCAATCGTAGCGTGCTAAATTGGAGTCTGTAATTTATATGATCGATGAGCTCTTCATCCTTCAATAGTGTCTTTTTTCGTGTTCTAGTTTTCTTTTTTTCCTTTTCTAAAGTTGTACATATAGCTAGTTTGTCCTTTAAAAGAAGAAGGGGTTAGATTGTCCCTGCCTGGGTTTATACGTATATGCTGAGAGGCAGAAGAGTAATGCAATTTAATGGGCCCAAATAACTTCTTTAGGCCTTTATAGTCTGGACTAGCACCTTTGGGCATAGGATAGGAGCACCTGGCTGTCGGCCCAGCTAGGGGATAAAATTGTTTTTGGGTCCACGTTTGCGCTTAGTGGACCCGGTGCAGAACATTTTGGACCTACATCGGGTATAATGGACCTTCTTCGGCCCATTCAATTATTCTAGGCCTGGGTATGTTGGTCTGAGTGGGCCTACGGTGCCTTCTTCGTGCCTGAGCAACTCTTTTACAATCCTTTTTAGTAAAAAAAAAAAACTCTTTTACAATCCTATGCGGTCTGGGCCTGACTGTCTCAGCCCCAACTTGTCTATGAGCCCAATATGGCTTGGGCCATAGAAAAAGGGCCAAATTTGGGCTGGGGGTGAACTTGCAATGGGCTTACAGTTGGGCCCACTGTGAATGGGCCTCACGTATATTATTGGGCCTAAATTAATGGGCTCTACCCGACCTTGGGCCTAACCTGGGCTGGGCCTGAACTATCTCACTGGGCCTAGGGTTTTGGCCCAACTCGTCTATGTGCAAATTATGGGGCGGGCCTGTAATTATATGTGATGGGCCTACATTGGGCCCAATACGGGATGGGCCCGAGGTATCTTTTTGGGCCAAAGAAAATGGGCCATACCCTCATCTTTGGGCCTTACTTCGGATGGGTCTAGAGTTTTGGCCCAACTCGCCTTGGGCCGAGTATTGTTCTGGCCTATAATTTTATCTAATGGGCCTACATTTGGGCCCAATACGGACAGGGCCTAAATACTTGGATTGGGCCTTATGATAAGGGCCCAGTCCAACTAGCCTTTTTTGGGCCAAATATGGGCTGGGCCTAAAGTTGATCTTAATGGGCCTACATTTTGGGCCCAATGCGGGCAGGACCGGAATTCTCGTATGGGCCCAATGGAACAAGGGCTAGCATGAATTTTGTGTTAGTGGACTTTAGAATTGGGCCTAACACAAGATGGGCCTAAGTGTTCTACTGGCCTTAATATAGGCCTAGGGCCGAAGATGGGATGGGCCCAAATGTCTTCTTGGGCTTAGAGTTTGTATTCATATTGGGCCAAATATGGGCTGGGACCAAATTCGTTCTTAATGGGCCCAGCGGAACATGGGCTGGCCTGAATTTTGTGTTAGTGGGCTTAAAGTCTGGCCCATATATGAGATGGGCCTGAGTATTCTATTAGACCATAGTATACGAACTTACCCGAACATGGGGGCCCCAAGAGTTATTGGGCCTAGAGTTAGGGCCCATGGACACATAACTTAGCATTACCGATGACTGTTCGGGCGCATGATAAATATCGTGGGCCGTCATTCATTTGCCGGCAATATAAGCCTAGTGGGCCTGACCATTCATTTTAAGTTTTTTTTTTTTGTTGGACATATATTCATTTTAAGTTCAGAGGGCCTTCAATAGGAACTTATCAATTTCGGTTTTGCTAAATCCTGGGTAGCAACAGCACGTTTGTTTCACCCGTAGCCTTGGCTTTACTGCATGATTAGTGGGCCTAATAATCTCGGCCAAGGCCCAACTCACACGTTCTTGTTCTGCGCGAATATAACGTCACCCAAAACCTTATACGAATGTTCTCATACCGCGTTAGATTTATTCAGTCCTATGCCACATGCAAGCCAGTGAACCTGAGTCTTTCTGGCAGCTAGCGACATCACCTGCGAAACACTTGGAATATGGTGACAGGCACAGCATCTAACATCCCACAAAAAACCTACGACAAGGCCCATGGACAATTGCTCGACAGTCTTAACTTTTGTGCTAACTGCTAAACCTTTTTGCCTCCTTCCTATTTTCTGTGTTATCAACAATCTCAGCAGTAGCGTCCGCGTCCATGAGGTACCGGGAGTTGATATGTGACCTACTAGCGGCCCTGCCCCACCGATTATTTTCTTCACATCGACTTCATCTTCCACCTGGCAAACATGAGCAATTTTCCAAAATTGAAACATTAAAGTACACAAACTATGATTACAGTTCAACAACAATGCCAGTAAAAAGATACATGCTCCAGAACTTGGGATTCCGGCCTTACCGTGGTTTTAAGGCATCCTCTTCGAGTCACAACACACCTCGCATATAACCATCCATGCTTTGCTTGTGTTTAAGCCTTTGTAGGAAGCGTCTTGTACGACATTCTGCAAGCTCCGTCTCCTTCTGCTTCATATGATAGTAGAGCGAACCAATCTGATGCCTTCTCTTATGCTGTTTAAACAGGAAAGGCTTTGCTAAAGCAGGCTAAAAATTTTATGTGCGAAAAGAAATTAGCATGAACAACACATCTACATATGCTATGAAAGAGCTTCAGGGTATTCAGCAAAGGATATGAAATTCAAAAGTATGACTTTCTGAAAACCCAAGTGATGTGATGTGATATGAATATCATCTTATTGTGGACCCGTTTCCAAAAGATTTCCATATGTATAACAGCAGCAACGTGAAACACTAGTAAAGGAAGGAGTGTAATGCTGGACACAACTTCTAACCATCTGTGAAGGCGATTTAACAATTTATGCTAAACTAATATCCTTTATTCTTCTTCAGAAGATTTTAATGATGCATTACACCAGGGACTAAATAACTATAAGATATAGTTCGTATTGCCAGTTGAACTAGTTATTGTCCATTAATCTTAACTTAACACCTCCACAACAGAGTTGACAAATCAAGTTACAAACTCAGAATGAAAGACCATATGCACAAACTAAGATGACATCCTTTTTCTGCAGCTAGGTCCTCAGAACCAGGACATTTTCCAAATGGCCCTTATACTCAGTTTTTAGGATTTTTCTCTAAATCAATAAAACGAAAAAGATAAGAGGATAGGATTCGCTCAAAATTTTCAACATATCAAGTTACAAACTCAGAATAAAAGACCACATGCACAAACTAAGATGACAAACTTTTTCTGCAGCTAGGTCCTCAGAACCAGGACATTTTCCAAATGGCACTTATACTGTTTTTAGTCTTTTTCTCTAAATCAATAAAAGGAAAAAGATAAGAAGATAGGATTTGCTCAAAATTTTCGTACATCAAAAAAGGCTAAGGAAATGTTTCCTTACAGAAGTTTTTCTAAAGGTTTTGAGGGAAAAGGGTTTTTTTTTGCTTCCAAACAAGCAATAAAGAGTGCGGATGATAGAACGTCAGTGACTTCAATCATGACACTGAGACAAACAAAGCATTTCCCAATAGCAATAGCCTTACATCAATGATTACATTCAAGTCCTTAGATCTTAGCTTGGAAAAGAACAAGCTTACCTAATTATAATCCAAAGTAATAGTCCTCAGCATATGCCTCTCCTAGATGATACTGTGCTAGTGGACGAAACTCATGACAAATAGATGCAAAAGAATGATTGTGGAACATGGAGATAAACTTCAGAATTCGACTTGTTCAATGACAGAATACATGAAAGGCAGATTTAGTAAAGGAAAAAGTTAAAATTGGAGACCAACAGTATCCAAAGAGCTGATTTTTTTTTGCTTTCCCGTGACCGTTTTCCAAAAGAGGAGAAAGGGGAATGTTACCAATCATACAAGAAGAATACATGCAGTAGAGGAGCCAATATATGGTATCTTGTACAAGAAGAAAATATCACTGAAGATAAAATAAGCGATATCTTCCAGCAGCAACACCGTCTTTTTACAGTGCAGAAGAAAAAAGCAGTTCAATACTGATATGGGAAGAATAGTTGAAAATAAGTTTGGCAGAATGGAAAATGCTCTAGTGGGATATGCAGATACTCAGGAAAGTACTAATTAGAATTTAGTGCAACCCTTAAAAGAGTTGGTGTGACTTCATTTGAGGACGCGATGAGAGAACACAATAGGAATGAAACTTGTTTGGGACAGTTTGGACCTGTAGTGAGAAGATGTGATGAAGACACGAGATAAAAGGCTCAAGATGTGGTGTATATTTGAAGAAAAATACCGAGTATCAAATATATAGAAGATATAGTTCTAGTCAAACGAAATAGAGTAACTAGATCCATGTAGGAGACCCCGCTTAGATAGAAGGGGCTCAATGGTCGTTGATGATGATGATGTGGAGATGTAAGAGAGTACATTACATGCTACCGGAAACTATAGCAGCAGTGACTACATGCAAGATATCAGGAAGAAAGATAAACAACTCATACAATTCTTCTTGTCTACATACAGTACACTAAACATCGGTAATCAAACTCCAACCAGAGGGGTAGCCAGCTGAATTAATGTTGTACTGATACTGCAATTGGTAAGTTTCTCTTTTCCAACAAAAGAAATACCAATGTCTTAGTCAGTGGTTATTATTAAGCAGTTGCACTAATGAACCAGAGGCTTCACCTAAGTTTCTCACAACATATACGAACAAAGGAAGAGCAACTCGGCCTTCCTCCTTTCAAGAATGCTTTAAAAACAAGCCGTGCTTCCCATGTAACTGCACAAAATTTTACCTGATCAGTAATCTGCCTAGTTCGAACCTCAAGATAGTGTTGTCAAACATATGGCCCCACAGGATCTCCAACTAAGAGTTCAATTTACAGTTGCAATCACAAACGCGGCATCAAATAAACTTTCACCAGAAACTGTGATATAGTGCAAATGATATTCAAGAGCCTGGTTCTTCATACCTGATAATAAGAAGGCCCAAAAGCTATCCCAGCCAATTCACTTGATCCTCCCCGGGTCGATTCTTCATCAACTCCTCCCACTTAACCTCCACTATTTCCGCCGGAAGCTGATTCCTCCCTCTCTCTCGCCAGAAACTCTCAGTACACTCTCACTCGTCTCCTGCACCACCCCAGCCGATGCACTCCCACATAGTTACTGCAGTCCTCGTATCCTCCATAGTACGAAACATCACTCCGGCTAACAGTCCGATCATAGCCGCCTCGATAACTTCCACAAACCTCGTGACACTCAGCAACCCCCCAAATTTT